TGAATGGCAGAAGGGTATTAACAAATTTGTTTGGGCAAAACAAGAATAAAGTTAATTAAGCCAAAAAACAATATATATAAATATATATAGAACTGTGTATAAAGATGTGTAAGTATAGAAGCGAAATATTATATACGTGTACAGGTATGATGGTATAACAATGTTGATGTAATGACTGTAAGGTGTTGTAGAAGGAGGAAAAAAATCTGCTAAAAGAAAAAGAAAAATTTGGGGGGATGTGCGAGTGGGTCAACCAGAGGTCGCTCTCGTTTTCACCTGCTTCCTCTTCATCTCTAGGCCACCCCTACCAGCCCCATCAGAATCAAAGTGGAACCCTCGCACGATGCCAGCAAAGTCAAAGCTGAGGGACCTGGCCTCAACAGGACTGGTGAGTTGGGGACATGCTTTGCAAGAGGCTGTATGTTACAAATAGGAGCCAGGAGCTTAGAAGTTGTGTCTGGATCTCCTGATCCAGCAACCTGAAGAAGGAACAGAACTCAAATCCTATTGAATGTGGATAAAAACAAAAGGGCTTTGTAAACATTAGAATTAAGCAGCAATTTCCCGGACAAGCTCTTAACTTATTTTGATAAGATGCATAATTTCCTTGTCTGTGCTTGAGTGAGCTTCCCTGCGTTCTCATGCAACAGCAATAGCAGTTAGACTTGTATACCGCTTCATAGGGCTTTCAGCCCTCTCTAAGCGGTTTTACAGAGTCAGCATATCGGCCCCACAGTCTGGGTCCTCATTTCACCCACCTCGGAAGGATGGAAGGCTGAGTCAACGTTGAGCCGGCGAGATTTGAACCGCTGAACTGCGGATAGCAGTCAGCTGAAGTGGCCTGCAGTACTGCACCCTAACCACTGCGCCACCTCGGCAGCCATTAGTGCAACCCGACTGCAATATTGAAATGGGTCAAGGAGGGTGGGTGCCAGTTTTAGAATGCATTTTAATCATGTGTGCTTAAAATCAACTTACCCTATAACACAACCGCCCAAAATGCCTGGGAAGAATAAACTGCGTTTGACCCCATGGAAGTTCTTGGTTGACAAAAATCAATACAGCAGAAAGCATGCTTACCAGCCTGGAAAGTTTGCCTGCCCTTCTGAAAGTTTCTCCTGCTGCTTCCTCAGGTGTAGAGATGGGGAAGCCAACTCACTTCACAGTTAACACTAAACCAGCTGGCAAGGCCAAGCTGGATGTGCAGTTCACAGGCCCAGCCAAGGGAGACGCCGTAAGAGACTCCGAAGTAATTGATCACCACGATAACACCTATACCGTCAGATACACCCCTGTGCAGCAGGTAAGCTATGAGAAGGAGAGGGTGGTCTTCTGAGATGTGACTGAAACATGGTGTCTTGTTAAATAGGAAACTGCTAGAGACTTGACAGCCTTACCCTCTTCTTTCCTTTAATAAGTGACTCCTGGGGAAGGGACTTCTGGGAAGAGTCTGGATGGAAAGTCAGTAGGAAGGATGTGGGCACCATAGAAGGGGAAGAATGAATGGTAGGCTAGGGTGCCTGTTGTGGCCCAGCAGGAGCCGTTGGAGCTGCCACCAGACTCTGACAGCGAGGGCCCCTATGAGTCGGCTCTGGAGGATGTGGAGGACCCTGGACAGGGTTCTGACTCCGAACAAGGTGCAGAGAGGCTGGTTGGCCACCAGAAGGCGCCTGATCCTTGGACCACAACAGAGGAGACAAGGGAGTGTGATCCAGATGTCAGCAGTGGGGAGGAGCCAAGGGAGTTGTTCCTGGCATCGGACAGCTAATAGGGGTAAGGAACAGTTGCGCA